GGATCGAACCTCGGATCATGTGCATGGTCGGCGACAGTCCTAACCACTGTGCCACCGACGCACTCAGAACACGTTTTCAGACACTGTTATGAACCACAATTATTATATGAGAGCTTATAATAATCCTCAATGGCCCAAAATGAAGTATATGGGGTAGGAATCGAACCCAAGACCTGTCGCCTGTAAGTTGAGTCGATGAGTCCCAGGTAAAAATAAATGTCTGTCTGTCTGTTTTCGACATAGAACTCTGCACAAATGTGCACCAGTTCAAGTCGCCACATTCCGTGTAGCACGCGAAGCAAGAGAAGAAAGTACAAGAAAAGCATAATAGAAACAGTGAGCAGAAGTGTGAGACAAAGGAGTAATAAAGAAATACAAAACAGTTTCATTGAAGATCATAAGTCACAGGGAGTGGATAAATAAAGGCAGTACTAGATGGTATACAGCTGTATATCATGATGGAGATGAAAATTTAGAACTTCAAAAAAATAAGAAAAAGGGGTATGGACACTTCACCGTTTAGAGAAAAATAAGACGTGAGTGCTTCAACATAACTGAAACTGGCTTTAATTTACGCTGAAAGTCTTCGACAAGCTATTTTTATCGTTTTGAACCTGAAAAAACGCATGTTAGCTACCTGTATTTTCACAATATTGGTAGCACCATTAGACGATAACTTTACTGTTTCGTATAATCTTCAAATCCAGTCATTTATGTCAGCATATTAAAGCAGGTGTTACTGAGACCATTAACGAATCTCATCAAAGAAATCTGTATATAGAGTACAGTGATTAGGTTGCTGCTCCTCGTGGAACCCCTGCGGGCACTCGTCACGCACTGGCCTGCATTTGTATGATGGCTAACTGACTCACCACTGAAAGGGATGTTAGCAGCGATCTTATGATTGGAGATATAGTCATAAAAGCTGTTTCTAGTCTAAAACGAGGCAAAGCAGTAGTTTGTGGGATTCTGTGATACTCCCAACAGGCACATTAACACCTGATCGTCCCAATTTATTAGAAGAGAGAAAACTCTCTGTAGCTAAGGTTACCACACTCTATATATAGCTCACAAAGGTACAGTACGAGAGAATACTGCACAAGAACAATTATTAACAGGAATGCATGGGAGATCGAATAAACACATGGGGGAAATGAGGATGTAATGGACCTAGACGATTACAAAGAGTGAATATATTTCCGCCGATGAAAGAAATTTCGAAACATTATGAACACTTCCAAGTCATTGGGTCACAGCGTCCTGAGAACCCCAACTAGGTAGGCCATACCTGCCTACATGGCTACCTCAAACCAACAGCCATAGGTTTCATGGATTAATACCAGGTTTGATTTCACAACCCCCTAACTCTTTTCTAACCTAGCGTCACTCATCGAGGAAGACAACAGCTCGGTATATGCAACCAGTGGCCTAGTCATCTCAATCGACTTAGCATCACAACCCCATTGATTGACTTCCCCTCCTTATCTAGCACTCTACGCTTAACCTCAATATTACTCACCATGCTATACCACTCAATACGGTAAACACAACCATAATACTTACGATCAAAGACAACTTGCTTCGTCAAGACTTCCACTTTTAATGGACACATCTCACATCTATAAAGAAGGACAGAGCGAACGCCAGACACAACGTGGTTTTACAAATGCCGCACGGGCCGTTGCACACGTGTCATGACAGCAATTTGTCATGTTTTTGATTAGTGGTTTGAGCCATGCAGAGAGTTACAGACTACTTGCTTACGGGACATTAAAAACTAGTGGTCTGAAACTTCGCAATAAGGCTTAAAATCGTTTAAAATGGAAAGCATATATTCACTCTCTGTGTGTGTCATTCTTCAGATTCTCAAAAAGTCCACTGATATTCACCTAATTATTTCATTTCGTTTCTTTATTCACCCAGTGTATTAAAATTACAATTCTTTCCTCAATTCTTGTGTGTTTTACAGAAGTGTGGCAAGTTGAAGTGGTACACATTTGTGCAGCAAAACGTTGGTGAACACGTCAGTAGACAAGAGATTCCACATTCATGGATTGAAGGTAGACGGCTTAAAACTTATGCTAATCCTCTGTCTAATAAGTGTCTGTGCTTTTCTGAACCCCTCCTCTGAATTACGGAACTGAGGGTACTGACACAACTTCTGGGGGATTTGTTCCTGGAGTTTATGATTCTATGTGGACACCTGACTGACTGACTAGCTGAAACATAGAACTTTGCACAGAAAGTGTAGCAGTTTGAGGTGCCATATTCCATCTCGCAAAAACGAGGAGAAAAAGGACTCAAAAGAACAATAGAAATGTCACAGAGAAGGAACGGTAACTTAGTGGATACGGGAGATCAGAAAGAATGAGTGCATCTCCGCCGATGAGAACGATTTCAAGCCACGTCACCAATTGTCTTCAGGCTTCATTGGTTCTTGGAATTCAGAGGATCTCAACCAGATAGTTTATGCCTGTCTACGTGGCTGGCTCAAACTAACTATCAACCAGTTTCATGGACTGATTCCAAGTTTTGGTTTGACCACCACTAGCTTTCTCTTTTCCAGCCTCATCCTATGTCAGTTAATATTCGTGGTCGAGGAAGGCGACATGCGTAACATACGTCCTAGCGGTCTCAATCGATGTGACTTCACAACCTCATTGATTGATTTTCCCTCATTGCCTAACACTTGACGCCTAACCTCAATAATGCTCACCCTATTATGCCACCTAGCACGGGAGATAGAACGCAGACATCTATGATTAAAGATACATAACCTTTGCATATCTTCCACTGATGTGGTACCCACTACTCCACAGAGATGTAGTTCCTCCTTAGGTGACCAAATAAATTAACAAATGTAAATTTCTAACATTTTGAAATATGTTTGTTTATGCCTATTTATGTCTGAGGGAAAGCAATCCGGGAAATTTATGTAAGTTCCAAGCTTGATTGATTGAACAGACAGATCGAACCAGCTAGTATGAGACATTGAGAGACAAGAGAAAACATCAACTATTGAGAAACCTGCACTACTAGATTGGCAGTTTAATTAAACGCCTTACATATTTGAATGTCAACTGGAGGATTACATCATCAAGCCTATACAAACTACTTCAGTGTGGGAACATAAAGTGGATTTTCAACTCCTTCACATCTTAAGTGCACAGTGCTCTACAGGGTTCTTTAGTAGCCGTTTGTCATTATTTTATTATTTCCTTTATCCCATCCTTGACACTCATTTCATTAACAATTCCTATAAAATAATATTGTTTAATGTCCATCAAAACGACAAATAGATAACAGCACAAATCAATTTAACTAAAGACACCACAAGCAGTAAAATACAATCGTTTGCAGGAAGCTTAGTTAACCATATTCTGATCCATGTGCCACATATTAGCAGGAAGCCCGAATTAAGACTAACGTTTAAATTATTGGAATATCAGAGCTTTATTTGGGGAAAACAGCGCATTGGACAGGCAAGGGTCAAGTCCGTCTGTCTGTCTGGATTCAACATAGAACTTGGCACCGAAGTGCACCAGTTCGAGTTGCCACCTTCCAAATAGCACACAGAGGTAGACAAGAAGATGAGTGAAGAGAATCAATACAGTCTGACAAGTATAAGAGTGAAACAGAATGGGTAATGATAGAAAGGAATATGAAAGATTACAGAGACTGAATACATCTGCGCTGGCCATTGACAACGATTTTGAGCCATGTCACCTATTGTCTCCAGCCGTTGATTCCTAGAGTCCCGAGGGCCCCAACCCGGAAGTCTGCAAGTCCGTACGAACTAGAGGGAATAACAGTCCCATCAGTTCAGACACATTTGGATTCAGGTGTCATAGTAAGTCACGACTTATAAACTGCAGCACATTGTCACGCGGTGACAGCACATAATTTCAGATCATTATGGGCAATTCACAGAACCTTTACCTCCTTATATACATCTTTGGTGCACTGAAGACTGGAAAACCGTATCTAAACAGCCAGTACTTATCCTAAACGAGACTCATATATTCTAGAAAGAGTTCAAAGGAAGGCAACACATATGATTCTTGGCATGACGAATTTTTATTTTATTTTATCTTTTTTTTATTTTTTATTTCAGCTTGATTCCACACTATTTTTGGTACAAGTATGGAATTTTCAGCATGGATATCGGTAGCCCAAATTTTGCAGGCCGACCATAGATATCAGGTGTGCGTCGGCAGGGGATCGAACCTCGGATCATGTGCATGGTCGGCGAGAGTCCTAACCACTGTGCCACCGACACAGACAAAGCGTGTGTCGGAAGAAAGATTAAACAGTTTAAGTCTTTTTCCGTCATATGGTTAGGAGTGAAGAGTTCATAATACAATGTTTGAAATCTTAAATAATGATTACGAACCTGATCTATTCTTTCTTCTCCTTCCCACTAGGTTGGAACACCTTAGAAGGCAGAGTTAGAGGGTTCAAGGAGAAACCATGTCACTGCGCAGTATTGGTTCTCAAATTCGTCAAATCCTGAGACCGACTCCTAGAGAATTGATGTTAGCGCTTTCAAGGATCACCATAGACTTTGAGCATTTTATCCTCAAACAGAGAATCTGACATGTTACATCTAACCTATTCTAATCATGATTGTGCAACTACATAGCACAAAGATCCTTCGTGTACAACTCGTATAAGAATGGATGTGTAGATTTAGAAACGAATGAAATACTAGTTTTACACAATACTCTCAAGTTTATAAGCTTATGGGATAGGAGAGTAGTAGAAACACCCGACGACAATCTTAAGTCTCGACATAAGACTATGAGAGAGAAAGATCCAACAAGCAAATAGATATGGTTGAACATCTTATTTGACTTAATACACTGGCGTTTACACAATACTTATACAGCTAAGCTATTAAAATATATTAATGGATGAACAAATACTTAGCAAAGCTATTCACAACATAGATGTGACCAGGGCTTACAAATTAATTTGATCAGCCGGCGGAAAGTACTTACCTTATCATGAGATTAAATTTTCATAGTTAATAATTAAAAGTAGAACTTAAACATTGTGTATTTACATCCCCAAAACGAAACATAATCCTTGTTGTATAACAACTATTTGAACAACCGCTCGCACAACATCCAATTTTTATACTTCGATTTATTATTACTGCTTTTCGTCTTAGGGATTACAGTTACATGGACGATTACTTTGAAGGATTGAAAAATTAATTTCTCTGATGCTTCCACTTCAATTATTTGCTCTCTGAGGCCAGGCTACACCTGTCTTGGAGAAATCAATTTTTGATAACTTTGGATAACTGGAAACAGATAACCAAGTCTTCAGAGCAAGTAGCTAGGTCACAATCGGCTTTTTCCGGTTGCAACGTACTGCTGGAGCATATAGCCCGTTAGTGCACATCGGTGACCATTTCACATATTTCTAGATACCATCGAAGTGCTATTTATAGATTAATAACTTTCTATGCTAGAAATCTGGCTAACTTTATATTTACGGGATACGTAAGAAAATTTCAGACACCAAGGGTAAATGCCATGGGAAAGAGACAATGCTCTCCGTTCTGCAGTCCAAAGAGATGCTACTGAAGTGGGAAAACTTTTGTGTTGAAGACCGTATTGATTAAAATGTAATTGATCGAGGTTGAAACACAAATATAACAAGTAATTTCTTTGTCCGTAAACTCACCAATAAATCGAGAGCCAAACGCCATACAGTCCTGATATCAGCCATCACAAAGTTGAACATCGCTTAGAAATCAGCCATGGTCATTCTGCCCGTTGCTACAAGCTGGGGATTTCACTGTCACCAGGTTGTTTGCAGAAATTTGTTCATGTTGTATACCTTTGGCTACCGGAAAGCACTTAAAAATTTCATTTTTGCATCTAAGTGTGATAAGTTACGAACTACGAACTTTGCGACTTACGAACTGTGCATCGGTGGCACAGTGGTTAGGACTCTCGCCGACCATGCACATGGTCCGAGGTTCGATCCGCTGCCGACGCACACCTAATATCTATGGTCGGCCTGCAAAATTTGGGCTACCGATATCCATGCTGAAAATTCCATACTTGTACCAAAAATACAGTGTGGAATCAAGCTGCTAATAAAAAACAGCATTCTTGTGCGTGTGCAGTTTTCGAAGATATTATCATTATAAAGACAAACTGCAGAATAGCAGTTAATACAGGCCTAAGATGTACCCTTTACCTAAAAGTGTAGAGTGTTTTTGGTAGAGCTCACTCGCCCCCGTATTTATGGAAGAAATGATTTTTGGTTACTTTTTCTATCTCCATTACTGCTAAATTTCTTTAGTGTCCTAGATTATTTTAATCAAACAGTGTCACTTATAGTGAACACTGAAGGGGCATGTAGTGTATTTGTTTATTCGGAACAGTTTCTCATTCATTGCAGTCAATAATCCCTATATTGGCTTGAACGTTTGCCCCTGGACAGAGGACCAGAGCAATACGATAGGCAGTATTATTGTATACTGCACTGACGTTATTTATTGACTTTTTTCTTACTGTAGTGATAGTAAACAACTATGAATCATGTGATCAAGCTCGTGTGTAGTTATACTTCGCTGATCAATAAATCTTCGACTTACTGTCTGTTTTCAAATACCTCTTGCGTTTAAACTGAGTTGGTCATTCGCGTAAAATAGTATTTCAAGTTCTGGAGAGTTTTCTTCTGGCTGCAGCAAGTTTTCCTGATACCGTTTTTGACGCATGCTGTGTTGAAGGAAGTCAGAGTGGTGTAATGGTCATTATTATACCTTCTGTCATGGAAAAGATCAGATACGGCTAATGTAAACGGAAGATAGCGATCTCGATTTTGAAATACCGCACACTACTTATTTCAGTCTCAATACCAGAAATATATAATATAGTAACAAGTAACCGTGTTAACCTCTCCCCAATAACTCTGGTTTACTAACAATTATGCTCCTGAATGCTAGATCTCTCCTTAATAAAATAACAACGCTTCGCTGCCTGGCATACATAGAACGGCCAACACTAATAATGGTGACTGAAACCTGGCTTACTACTGATATACCTGACACAAAGCTAGTAATAGACAACTACGACATCTATAGGAACGATAGAGTTGACAAAAGAGGAGGCGGTTGCTTAATATATGCCTATAAATCCACTAACTCCAATACTTTCAATAACCCAAATACTGACAAACTCCCAGAATCTAAGTGGATAAGCATCCACACAAACGAAAGTAAAATTCTCGTGGGATGTATATACAGACCCCCCAATAGCCCTGAAATGACTGATATAACTATTGCAGAAATACTAGAGCATGTAGCCACGCTGGACTTCGACTACAAAGTAGTATGTGGAGATTTCAACTTACCTGGAGTAAACTGGGATACCTGTACAGGACCAAGAATCCATGAAGAGCTACTACAAGCTATAGACATAGGAGGATGGAAGCAGTGCGTGCGCCTCCCTACAAGGAACCAAAATACTCTTGACTTAATCCTCTGTCATAACATAGAGCCCATCTCGATAGAGGTGGGAAATAAACTCGATAACAGTGATCACAACATATTGTACTGCACGCTACCCCTCCGACTAACAACTAAATACACACCTAAAAATTCCCCGGTGCGCTATCAATATAGGGACTATAAGAATGCTGATTGGGAATTCCTATCAGATCTGTTGAGAAGTTCTGACTGGGAAGAATACTTCATCAACAATAACTTAGAAGTATCACTTGAGATTTTCTACAAAACAGTTGGCTCAGCAAGAGACACAATCGCGCCCCTAAAATCTGCCCTAAAGACACCAACTCCATTTATTGACCGGAAAACGCGACTAAAACTAAAGAAATTGAAAAGGAAATACCATGTATTTAAGGAATTTAATGCGTTAAACCAAATACATGAAACTCTTAAACTGCTTGAAGAGAAACACAAAATGAAGTCACAACATGAGGAAAATAAAGCGCTAATGGGTAACACCAAAACTCAGGAACTTTGTAGGATATTGCAAAAACGTCTAAAAAGCAGTAAAGACAATAATGTAAGCATCTTGGAACATAGGGGTGTAATATACAACGATCCCCAGGTTATAAGTGAACTCCTCAGTGAGTGGTTTTGCAATGACACCAGAGTGCACCCGACCCCAAATTTCCAAATGACCTGCAAAAGTAACCACAAATTAGGAGAAATAGATTTTAATATACAAAATATAGACTCAGCGATTAAGACATTGAAGTCAAATGGCAGTACTGGAACAGACGACATACCATCTGTCATATACAAAAATGGTAGCACGGAAATGGTAGTCTTGTTACTTAGAATATTTACTCTGTCACTGGAAACTGGAACTTATCCTGAAGTGTGGAAAACCACATACATATTACCTAAGCACAAAGCAGGGGCCAAAACCAGTGCATGCAACTATAGACCTATTAATATAACACCGGTAATATCACGAATAATGGAGAAAGTGGTTAAAGACCAAGTGTCAGACAACTTACTAGAACATGAACTTATCAACCCATCACAACACGGATTCCTCAAAAAGAGATCATGTGCGACCTGTCACATAGACTTTTTCAATGAAGTTACACGAAGCAGGGACAACAGAGAACTAGTAATTGTGCTATATTTCGATATAACAAAAGCCTTCGATAGAGTCCCCCATAATCTGCTAGTCAGCAGGTTATGCTCACTAGGGATATGTGACCCTCTCCTGAGCTGGATAAAATCATTTCTCCGTGACAGGAATCAGATAACAAAAGTTGGCTCGATAATCTCAAGGCCTAAACCTGTAAGTAGTGGTGTAATCCAGGGAAGTGTATTAGGCCCACTCCTATTCATAATATATATAAACAGTATCTGTGAATGCTTTAGTGTTGGTAAACCAATACTATATGCAGATGACTTAAAAGTGACCTATAAATGCAAGAACACAGATCTCGGAATAACAGTAAACGCCATACAGCAAGAATTAGAAAAAATGGACAGATGGTGTGACACCTGGCAACTCCAGTTTAATGTCGACAAATGTGGCTGGCTCTGCATAGGTTGCAACAATTTAGAACTTGACCTGACAATTCAAGGCCATGCACTCTTACGACTGGAATCTGTATTGGACCTAGGACTGAAATACTCACATGACTTATCATTTTCTGAACATATCTCCAAACAAGTGTCAAAGTCACGCAGACTTATCGGCTTTCTACTCAGGAACTTTTACAGAAATGAGTCCAGAATTCTGTTGTACAAGGTTTGTGTGCGTCCTTTATTTGATTACTGTTCATTCATGTATAGTAGTATACGCATAGAGGACAAATTGAAAGTCGAGGGAGTGCAGAGGTACTTCACGTCAAAATTACTCGGAACCGAAAATGGTGCGAACTACTCCACTAGATGTGACACCCTAGGATTAGAAACACTATGGCTAAGACGCCTGAGACTAAACTTAACACTTTACTATAAGCTTCTAAACCACTTAGTTTTTACCTCTACTAATGGCATTCGACTTTCAGATGACAGTGTCTACAAACTAAGACACACTAAGGGTACAGTAGCTATCGAACAATGTAAAACAGCTACCAGGCAAAAGTTTTATTTGATTAGGTATGCACAGATATGGAATAAACTACCAATGGAAATGCGTCAAGCAGGTACATTGGCCTCATTCAAAAAAGTGCTTAACGACAAACTACACGAGTTTGCAAACGACAGTAGTCCTAGTTCCTATCTGAGAGCCTCCGAAATTATAGGTCCATTTAATGTATAAGCTTAAATACTACACCTGTTGTTTTTGCCTATATTTATAATTTTAGATAAAACATTAACGATTAAGATACTTACCCTCAAACAGACAAGAAGTTTCGTTTGTAAAACTTCTACCCAACACAATAAGTGGAATAAAATGGACATAAACCGACAACATGAAAAAGGTATAACTCACCACAACATCACATGGACAGATGTACGCTCGTCGGACATCATATATGCCTCACCAACTACAACCCAACATTCCTGAGATAATGTGATGAACTTATATCCGTAATGTTGCTGAGCAGTCAATATCCACAACTCCTGTCGGAACAACTAAAATTCAAAAACCTTCCTCAC